CACACAGACCCACCCCCAGCCACCCACCCACCAACCCACACACACACACACACACACAGCAAAGTGAAATGGAGGATGTCTAGCCATGGAGTGATAGAGATGGTGGGGATGAATGGTGGTGTCAATGCTGTTGTGCTTGTGTAACTAATTTTGTAATTAATTTTGTGCTTTTGTGGGCCGATTCGGAGGGCTCTCCAAGTTTTCTCGGACCTTTGGGGGATTGGCTCGGTGCTTTCTTGCTGGCAGAGTCTTCTGTTTTAGGCAAGTTGCCTTTTGCTCTCCATCATGGAGTGATAGAGATGGTGGGGATGAATGGTGGTGCCAATGCTGTTCTGCTTGTGTAATTTATTTTGTAACTAATTTTGTAATTAATTTTGTGCTTTTGTGGGCCAATTCGGAGGGCTCTCGAAGTTTTCTCGGACATTCGGGGGATCGGCTCAGTGCTTTCTTGCTGGTGGAGTCTTCTGTTTTAGGCAAGTTGCCTTTTGCCCTCCGTCCCTTCATGGACTATGAAACATATGTGTATATATATCATCAAAACAGATATATATAGTCAAACAGAGCTGCCCGGTATATATATGCCGCTTCGGCGGCAGACGGGTGTGTGTGCAGTTGGCGCTGAACCACACAAATGTGGTCAACCTTGAATTTTATTTATTTATTTATTTACTTTTAAATGCCCAGGTTCTTGTAGAGGCAGGGTATCAGGCGCGGGAATACCCTCCAGGGTTCAGTCACTTGAAGTTCAGAATGACCCACTTGGCCCTCTGGACCTTCCTAGACGGAGTCCTCCACGGTCTTAGAGCCCTAAGTCCTATCCTTGCATTTTTTACTATCTTGTCTGTCTATACTTTCTTTGTTTTATGGATGGTTTATGATGATTTGCGAATGGAATGAGAGAGAGAATTTGGGTTTTTACAAAAAAAAACGCACACACGCATACCCACACCCACCCACCCGCCCACCCACCCACACACACACACACACACAATTAAATTATCTCTTTCTTTCTTTCCTCTTCCTCCAGGTCTTTTCTATGTGTTGATGCCCACTTGCTGTGTGGTTTGGCCTTTTTCTGTGTGTTTCTGAGTACCTAAGTCTACTAACTTTAGAATATGGGAAATGGTCACACTGCCTGTTTGTCTGTAGTGCCTGTAACAATATTGGGGCTCATGTGTTTGGGGTGTCTGTGTCAGTGTGTTTCTGGGGCAATGGCAGACATTCCTCGGAGTGCTTATAGAGTTCTACATGTTGTGTGATTGGATGATGATCTTTTTTTTTTCTTTTTTTTTTTTTTTGATTGGGTCTGTGCTGCATAAGTGGACTGCGTTGTTGGTGCTGCCTCACTGATGTTGCCTGGCTGTTGGCTAGTAGTTTAGCCATGCTGGTCACCGTGCTGCCTGGCTGCTTGCCTTGACGCCTCCCCTGTGCCCTCTGCCCAATGCCTTTGAGTTGCCTGCCATTCGGTGCCTTGTCGCCTGGCTCCCTTGCTGCTTATCATGCTGTCCTGCTATTTGCCTTGGTGCTCAATATACTCCCCTCCTGCTTGCCTTGCTGCCTTGCTGCCCACCTGCCTCCCCTGTGCCCTCCAGTCCACATGCTTTGCTGTTGCTAGCCATCAGTTTGCTTGTTGCCGTGCCTTTACCTTGCTGCTTGTAATGTCACCTGTTTGCTGTCTGCTTACAACAGGGGTTAAAGGGGATCACGACTCGAAACATTAGTATGGAGGTTCTATAAACTGTTGAGGCTCAGCCTCCGGATGACTCATGGGCAGCAAAGCAGCAGGGCAGAATATTGAGCAGCAAGGCAAATAGCAGGACAGCATGATAAGCAGCAAGGAAGCCAGGCAACAAGGCACTGAATGGCAAGCAACAGCAAGGCATTGGCAGAGGACACAGGGGAGGCATGTTGGAAGCCAAGCGACAAGGCAAGCAGCCGGGCAGCACGATGGCCAGCATGGCTAAACTACTAGGCAAGCAGCCAGGCAACATCAACGAGGCAGCACCAACAACGCAGTCCACTTATGCAGCACAGACCCAATAAAAAAAGAAAAAACAAAAAACAGACCATCACCCAGTCACACCACATGGAGAACTCTATAGGCACCGATGAAACAGTCTGTCACTACGTCGTTGTTTTTCACATGTCAATTTTTCTGTCTTCTACTTGTTTTTGAGAACTTATTTTCTGTCTTCCGCCATTCCAATGTTCGTTCTGTCCACTGAAGAGCTATGTCAGAATTTTCAGTCTTTGTGCATGGTTTTCTCCTGAGAGGTAGTCGTCTGGGTACAACTGAATTGTACTGAAGCTACCAGCAATATGTTTTCACACAGATCGCCACACACACACACACACACAAAGTAACATGCCTACTTGGAAGCCACTGCAATATTGCACAGGATTATGGGTTAGCCCCAGGGGGTATCTCTGGGGCAAGGCAGGTCCTATGGCCCCACAGTATCCTTGATAGTGGACCTGCCTTTGAGTAATAATAAGTTGCATATTCTTAATAGAGCACAGACCTTTTGCGCTGTACTAGCAGCTAGTTGGTTTGTCTTATGTTATCTAACCTCAGCCCGTGCGTTCATTTCCACAACTCTCCTTCAGCCGTACTTTGTCTCGTAGCGCTGAGCCAGTGCAGCGTTGAGCTTCATTTTTGTCTGCATTTGGACCCGGATCCTTGTAGTCTTACTTTTTTCTTTCTAGAATGCATCAGGGTGTGCCTTTTCTTTTCTTTTCTTTTCTTTTTTTCTTTTTTTTTTCTTCCCCAAAACAACTCAGCCCCTTCTATTCTGGGGGGCATCAGTTCGGTTGCTTATCACCGGCAAGCATGAGTTCCAAAGTACAAATTATTTGTAAAAGACGAAAGCCTTACCCTAGTGGCCCTAGACGCCTAACAAGGGGGGGGGATTGCTACAACCAATCCCTCTTCCCATACCATAGCCTCCCCATGGATACTTCTGTTGGTCGGGAGGCTTCCTAGCAGCACCCAGCCACACAAAGGTCCCAGGGAAGGCCTGACCCCGGGGGGGCATTCTAGCAGTCTCACAGGCCTCACATCCTGTCAGTCACACCCTCTGTTCAACCATCTTTTTTGTACCTACTAACACTCTTTTAGTCTAGATCCTTCCCTATCCTGTCTTCCTATTGAATCCTTAAGTCTCGTCTAAGTTTTACACCAATCTCCTTTGTCCATCCTATCAGTCACACCCTCTGTTCAATCCTCTTTTTTATAACTACTACACTCTTTTAGTCTAGTCCCTTCCCTATACCCGGCTGCCTATTGTATGCTTAAGTCTCATCTAATTCTTACTCCTGTCTCCTTTGTCTCTGCTATCACCTCTTTCCTCTTGCCCTTCCCCCCCTTCTAATCCAGGTTTTTCAAACCTCACATTTCACCCTCATTCTATTTACACCACCCTCTGGTTTTAAAGCCATTCTAAAACCAGTGGCCCTCCCTTATTTTAAAAGGTTTAAGTCTTATCCCCAGCAGTATGTTCATCAATCCAGGTTAAGGCGTCTTTTTTTCCTACACGGGACTTGGTGCCTTCGACCGCATGCCCTTCTAGCAGGGTCCATCTTTTGTCCACCTCAGGCACGAGCAGACAACAAGCATATGAAACGGCCTGAGATACAGACCAGGTAGACCAAGAGCACAGCCTCTCCCATGAACTGTCCATCTTATTTTGAAGTGGCAGCCCAGATGAAGGATGCTGGGCCAGCTGCGCAGGGCAGTATAGAGGCAGGGGGTGAGCAATGAATCAAACACGGCCGATGGATTAGCTTCAGTTGAAGGTCAGCATTCTGCTAATTTGGAGGGAGGATATCATTATGATGATTTCACCAGTACAAGAAGAGCCAAGCTGCTATGGCGCTATCTGCCATATACATCATATAGAGGTGTGCATGATTGGACTGGGCACACACAACCACCCCCACACACACTAAACTACAGGAAGAAAAAGGAGGGAGGGAGGAGGGAGGCCAGAGGAGGAGGAGAAGGAAGAGGGGTAGCAGGAGGAGGAATCAGGCGCTTATTGAACGTATGCTACAACTCAACGGGGCAATTATCGGCTAAACGCAAAAAGCAACAATTGGTGAAAGAAAGAAGAGAAAGGTTGAGGGCTGAGGAAAGCAAGAACAGAACATACCAGATGCGTCCCTTCTACCAGGAGCTACAGAAGTTTTAACCTCACCGAATCACAAAGTTCAAGGAAGGCCATCAACTCTATCTCTGCAACCCTAACAACTGTTGGAACTGCTCTTCGCGCTTCTCTATCCTTCAAAACAGAGATGTTCTGAGCCTCCATGAGGAACGCTCGCCTCATGTGAGTAATGCTCATGGCAACTGTCGTGGTGGCTGGGGTCGTTCTTCCCTCTTCTTCGCCCTTAGAAATGATGACCTCTGTGTCAGATGTCTCTCGTCCTGGCTCTTTATTGTCTTCACCCTCCCTGATGTCAGTGTACTTTGCTCTGCAACTCCCTTGCTCCTGTTCTGTGTCTGCAGACGCACCATTGTCATCTTCTACAACATGCTTTTCATGTCTGTGTACGGCATGTCCTCTGTGTTCTGCCTCAGACCTTTCGCACCGATTCCCTCGTCCTGCACACTCCTCCGCTACGGGGTTGGATGCGACTCTTCTTTCATTGCCTTCTTCATCCACAGAGGCTAACCCTTGAAGAAGTAGTGGCTTGCTCTGCAAGTCATTTCCACGATCTGCTGTTGCTATTTTGGCATGATCCTGCCAGTAACTGTGCTTCACAACTTGGAGCATTGTCTTCCGTGCAGCATTCAATATCATTGCCGCCTCTTGACGTGTGATGGAGGTGCATGCTGGCAAGAAGCATCCCGAGTAGGAGTGGTGGTGATCAAAGCCTGTCACCATATCATGAGCAGCAGCATTGCTGTCTGACAAGTTGTGGCGGTCAGTGGTGCCAGGGTCTGCTGCTTCCTCGCCCTGAGCTTCTCGATTTGAATCACCAATGTTAGATGAAGTTCGCCTTTTTCCTCTCCGTTTTCGTTTTTCCTTGGCAGATGGAGATGCTGATGATGGAAGGAGAGGGGGACCGTTTCCTCCCAAAGCAACAGGGCTTACCTCTCCAGCAGGTACTGGATCAGGATTTGGAAATCCTTTTGAGCAGAGCCTGCCATGAGATGGAAGTAGTCCAGACAATGATGATGACAGCAATGACGATGACAATGACAATGACAGTGATGATGATGATGATGATGATGATGATGATGATGATGATGATGATGATGATGATGATGAAAGAGCAGTTGAGATCGCTTGTCGAGACTTAACATCAAGCCAATGCAAGATGCTGTTTTCATTTGCAACCCTACCCTCTTGACACCTAGCATTAATCTCTTCAATGGTGTCCAGCTGGCATGGAGGAGCACCCCAATGGCTGATAATATCTGCCCACAATGCTGCAATGGCAGAGGCAGAAGCAGAGATAAAGGTAGTGGGGAGAGAAGCCGAGCGAGAGGTAGAATCAGGAGTACTTGGAGATACAGATGAGGAACCAGGGGCTGTTTCCAAGGTGATGGCCTCCTTATTCACCATCTCTTCTTTCTGCTTAACGTCTTCTTCTTCTTCTACTTCTTCTTCCGTTACCAAGACTTGAATCACATTCTTCTCCCAGTGATGAAGGCTCGCATTGGGCACTTCCAAGGCTGATGCCATAGCTTGGATCACTGTATCTGGGACCTTCTCTTCTGGTCGGCGTCCAGCGTTACGTTTCAGTGCACTCTTTACTGACACTTGCACGTAAATGGTTAAAAACGCAGCGCGGTACTGCCGGGCCAACTGATAGCACCGGTATCGCATACTTCTCAGGTGAAAGTTGTCATCAACCAAAATTAGCAACGGGCCACTCGTACGCTCATCAAGCTCACTCTTGGACGATAACATGACCTGCTTTGTCTCATGGTTGTGAGCAAGGTGGTCTTCATCATCTTGCTGCTGGCTATGGCAGAATCCACCGCCTTCAAACTGTGGATGGCTATGGTGGCAGCTTCCGTAAACTCCAAGCTGCTGCAGATATCCATGTGCTCTCTCCTCACTCAGTGCAAGCCCTGACTGCAGGACTCTCTCAAGATATACGAGCGCCTGTTGGCGTCCATCCTTCCATCGGTCGCCGGAGAAAGCTGGCATACACACGGCTTCACCCCCTTCCTTCCTCTTGTTCTCCTTGCCTACCACCACCTGGCCTCCAACCTGGAGTCTGCATCCGTTCTCCTTCAACTCCATGCGTCTTCCGTCCTGGTCAGATACGTCAGCCCTTTTAAAAGTGCGGTGAGACTGACAGTCGAATGCAGACTCAGGCTGGGACCTGCAGTTAAGCTCCAGCGGGTGTCCAGACAACCCTTCCTCCAGCTCAGGTTGCAATCTCAACCCCTCTTCAGATTGAAATTGGGAGAAAGAGCTCTCTTCAGGCAGAAACTGGGATCTGAAGGCCTCGTCTGGCTGAAGATGGGATCCCTCTTCAGGATCAAACACGGATCCAGAGCCCTCTTCAGACTCAGACCAGGATCTGGATCCCTCTTTAGCCCGAAGCTCAGATCTGTAGGCCTCTTTAGGCTGAGGCAGGGATCTACGCCCCTCTTTAAGCTGGAGATGGGATTCAGGACCATCTACAGACTGAGGCTGGAATCTGGACCCCTTTTCCGGCGGAGGCTGGGATTGACACCTCTCCTTTTTTGGCTCAGGCCGGGATCTCAACCCTCCTTCGCTCCTGTCAGACTGAGACTGGGATCTAAGCCGCTGTTCTCCTATCACCAGTTGCATCAGCGAAGTCATCCCAAGGGATGCAGACCCTCTTCCCTCGCCTTGAAGAGATGACAGTGCAACCACTTCCTGCTCATGGACCGACATGGGGCTGCTTGCCTGCGCAGCACTGCTGCCATACAGGGACCAATTCCTGAGTTGAGGTACCGATCCACATTCGTGTTGTTGAGGCTCAGAACCCATTCCAGATTGGGATCCAGATACCGAGCCAGAGCAGAATAGGGGAGCGGATCCAGATCCAGCAGGTCCAGATCTGAGGTGCCAGTTGATAAAATCATCAAAGCAGATATGCAGCACCCTAGGAGAAGGGTTGCCGGACTCGCGGCAGTGGCGAGGCACATGATGCTTCCTGTTGACGAAGCTGAGCAGCCGATGTGCCAAGGATGTCTTGCCAGCTGCTGGGAGGCCCATGAGTAGTGCCACACACACTGGCGACCTCTCCCCACTACTAAGATGCGATTTCATCCCAGTTTTACCCATGTCTTCCTCTTGCTAACTTTTACTCATCAAATCAACACATGTAAACTGTCAACTCCATTAAAATGATTAAATCCAGACTTACACGTATGGGAATGATGATGCACAGAGTCATCTGGTCCTGATTCTGCAAAACATGAAGGTTTACTGGGGCGGCATGCGAGTACGTCGAAAAAAAAAAAGGAAAAAAAAAGTGAATGGCAATAAGAGAGAGGAGAGGAGAGAAAAGAGAAAAACGAAGGATGATGAGGGCTATTCTGAAAGTTTAAAGGGCAAGCTTCCCACGATGATTTCAGCCAAGCACAAAAAGAATTATATCATGAAATGTAACAAAATGTTTCTTTGCCCTTTCTCTTTTTCTCCTGATTTAGACGACCTGGATATCACCAAGTTTATCCCAAAGTGGATTATTTTGGGTGACGTGTACGTTAGCACAACTGCTGGATGTTGCGTTTTGCTGCGGTGCTGCTTCCCCCCCACTCCCAAGAGACTGCCAGCTCCTGATCAATCCATCATGCACAAAAATGGTATCAGTAACTCAGTTTCATTGTGTTCTGTACATAACCGAAATGAAAGAAAAACTTCAAAAAAGAACAAATTTGTACAATCATATTTATTATTTAATGATCTACCAGAGTCAAATCAATCCATATAAGTTCATCTTATTCACTAATAAAATTATATTTCATTTCATTTATAGAATACATGCATTTCAAATGCAAAAATGGAATATTCAAAGGGTTTATTGCACGTACACCTCTGGACTTCCACGTTATGTAACGACATGCAAATGGCCTGTCAGCATGCACTTGGACCACATGCAGCCTATTATGCAGACCATACAACTGACCGCAATAATTTATTGAATGGTCATAGTGAAGTCAATCCGGAAATCCATCTGATCAATCATATTATTATTAGTAATTTATTACTCTAATAACAATTTTATAGGATGTGCACTTGGACCAAACCATTACTACCAGTTGTATAATCTGCACAAGAGGGTGAATATGGTCCAAGTGCACCCACTCGTCTTCTCACCGAGCTGCACTCGTAATTTCCCTTTACCCCTCAAACTGTTCCAGCTAAAAAAGGAAAAAATCCCTCCTCTCCCCTACGTCCCCTGACATGACCCATTTTCCAGAGCCCCAAACCCATGACTTTGTCGACGCTGATCTGGACTACATTAGGTAGGATAGCTGTTGAGTTCCCAGGATAAGAGTTTAGGCAAAAATGGGGCACCTTTCCTGTTTGGCAAAGTCCGCGGGCGATGTTGGTAGTTTTCGGCCTCACTTCCTCCTTCCTATTTTCTTCTCCTCTTTTCTCCTCCTTGTGTTTGGGGGAAGAGTCTTTGTGCAGGTCCGCGGACCGCAACCGACAGAAAATCTTTCTTTTCCTAAGAAAGGAAAGCCATGCAATCTGCCTTACCTAAAAATAGAACCCCTCAAAAAGCCAAAAGTTGCACAGATAGGAGGAAAGGACAACAGAAATTACGCTTAACTATTTTCGCGGGGGGGGGGGGGGGGGGATTGTACAGAAGGGGGCTGAAGAGATGGGGGGGCAAGCAAAGGGGGGGGGGGAAAGCGCTCTCAGCATCACTACGGCCTGACCAGGGAAAAGGAGAAGGGCAAGTAGATGAAGAAGTGACGAGGGGGAAGAGGGGATAAAAAGCAGGCAAAGAGAACAAGGAGGAATCCGAACCAATGACCCTCTGTACCCAAAACAGATGAGCTACAAGACTGTGCTACACCTTGTTATGTTCGATTGGTAATTCAACGCATTAGCTGCGCCACTAACTAAGATTGGAATCATTGGATTGACTGGAACTGGTAAACTCATTGTTGTAGGCTCAAATCTTACATTCCAGATATTAAGCCATGATAAGAAAAACAGAGTTCGGTCCTGGCTCAGAAAGAACGCTAGCGATATGCTTAACACATGCAAGTCAAACGTTGTTTTCTCAGTTGAATACAAAGTGGCGAATAGGTGCGTAACGCGTGGGAATCTAACAACCAGTTTGGGAGGAGGAGAGAAGAGGAGGACACCACGACAACAAGGGGAGCAAGGAAGCAAGAGGACGAGGAGAGGAGAGGTTAAGAGAAGAAATAGGCGACAGCATGAGTAAGAAAGTAAGTGAGAAGGATGAGAAGAAGAAGTGCGGGGGGAAAGGGAGAGAGGAGAGGGGAAGGACAAGAGGAATAATAGGAGTAAGAGAGTAAGAGAAAAGGAGAAAAAGGAGGAGAGGATGAGGAAAATGATCATGGAAGGACGATGTTGTCAATCAGAAGGATAGAAAGCATTTAGTGGCCACAGGATCGCCAGTGGAAGGAAGGAAGAGGGAAGCAAACAAGGCTGAAGAGGAGGCAGAGTGAGAGAGTGGTGCTTGGGGTTATTCTTTGTAGAAGAGGGGTTGTCATGGATGAGAGCGTGACAGAAAAGGGGTAGAAAAGGAAAAGGGACAGAGACGAGATGGGGAAGGGAGGGGAGTAGAGCAGGGGTTTCAGACAGGGACAAATTGAGTGTACGGGAAAACGTGGGAGCTGAAGGGCATAGATAGATAAATAATTAAAAAATCGATGAAAAACGAAACAATGTTGCAGTGATAAAGGACATTATTATTCGTTTTGTATTTACTTTTATTTAAGCCCTTTAAAGTTTAAACCACCAGTGGATCTGGATAATCAGAATGAGCCTCTCTGAAAAGTTAGGGGACTTGGGACAGGGCCCACCTGAGGGAGGACGGAATTTTTTTTTTGTTCAGGGTTGGGCCTAGTGCCACCCCACGGCATGCGACAATTTTTTGTTTTTCTACTGGCCCTTTGGACACCCTGTCCCGAGCCTCCGAAAGTTTTTTATTTTATTTTTAAGCCTCGGAATTTTTATTACAAGTGGGCCCAGTGCACAAGGCTTGCCTCAATCAAATACGGACTCACTCCATACAACAGGGGCCAACCCGCCTCCGAAATTTTAGGAGAGGCTCAGTCTCGGTTCTGAACTTGGCTGGGGCCATGTACTCATTGTACTGGTGGTTTCAGCTAGTGTGCAAGCACATACAATAACAGGAAGTACAAGAGGGCCTTCTTGTGCCTTTCTGTACATCTCTATCCTTATAAAGGATAACCCAGGTCTCGCCTACCAGGCCCAGATAAGATCCTGGAGGGACATGAGCAGATCGGGAGAAGTCCAGGCCGAGGAGCAAGACGTGCTTTTTTTTGTTTTTGCATCACGTCCGGCAAGGTTCTGAACACCTTCGAGTTCCAGAATGGAGCAGAGGGTCCGAGGAAGCCAGGCCCTTGACAGTATCTTTTGTTTGGTTCTTATGGATCATTTCTCGATTTATGTATGTCATCCTTGTGGAGGGGCCATGCTAATCTTCAATGCACCCCTCCAATTTTAATGGATGTCCCAAGGGACCACTGACGGTATCTGGAAGCGTGCTACCGTTCTTTCTCTGACGATGGTGGGCATGATAACTGATGGTGATGGTCTACATCACAGCGTGCCCAGGACGGGGAGAAGGAGGAGGTGGCGGCGACCTGATGGGAGAGCTGTGTGTGTATGAGGGAGAGAGAGAGGGATGGAAAGAGAGACCGAGAGGGAATTCTTTGCAATAATTCTCCAAACCTGCTGCGAGAAGTGAAGAAGGTTTTTCAGAAAGTCTTTCAGAGGGGTCAGCAGTTCATTCTTTTTTTCTTTTTATAGAAAAAAATATAAGAATACAGTCTGTCTTCTCCTCATATGGGCGACAGCTGTATTTAGTTACCCTATTTTCTTCTCTCAATGTCTTACCTTCCTTACTCTACCTACTTTTTGCCTACCTGCTCATCTCAGTGTGCGCCCTGTCCACCCAAGGCAACCCAGCACCTCAACCCGAGACCACCAGGCACCAGACACCCCAAGCGCATATAACAGGCCAAGAGACTATGGACTAGGGAAAGTAGCCAACAACCTACTCCCATCAGTTCATTCTATCATCCACCAAAAACTATTTCCCAGCCGTTCATTCGATTGTGCACAAAATTCTCTTCCCAGTGAAGAAGGATGGCAGGAAGACGGCCCAGCAATGCGGGAGATAAGTAAGATGGGAGCTCCTTCACCTCTCCTCCACCACGTCCGTCGCCCCTCCCTGACTTACAATCCTGCTTCTTAACTTGTCCCCACTGCCTCCCCTCCGCCTGACATCCACGTGTCCTCTCACCTAAGCGAAAGGGGAAGGATAATTGCTAATGATTGTGATACTGGTGAGGAGGGAAAATCCACCTTGGCCCTAGTTTGTCAACACATGGGCCCGATCTCCATTACGTTTTGCAATAATCTTTCTTCTTTTTTTGCTGTGCATCCACTCTTATTGCTTTACATAACTCCTTGTATTCCATCGAACATGATTGTTGAAACTAGGAAGTGACCAAGGAAGAGAAGACAAAGCACTCCGATGGAGGAAAGAAAAGGAAAAGAAGAAGGTGAGGAAGAAAGAGGACCAGGAAAACAATGGAGCAGGAGGAAGAGGAGGAGTAGATAGGAACAAAACACAGGGAGGGGCAGGCAGAGAGAGAGAGAGAGAGAGAGAGAGAGAGAGAGAGAGAGAGAGAGAGAGAGAGAGAGAGAGAGAGAGAGAGAGAGAGAGAGAGAGA